CCAGCCTGAGCAAGAGCAAGAGCCCATCTCTACTAAAAACAGAAAAATGAGCTGGGCGTCATGGCACGTGCCTATACTCCCGGCTACTGAGGAGGCTGAGGCAGGAGGATAGCTTGAGTCTAGGAATTCCAGATTGCAGTGAGCTATGATGACACCACTGCACTCTATGATGACAGAGTCTTGTTCTGTCTCAAAAAAAAAGGCAGCTCAGACAAAGTTAACAAGGAAATTAGTAAACTCAAAGATAGGTAAGAAGAAAATATTCAAACTAAAAAATAAAGAAATAAAAAGATGGAATATAGAAAAGAACGTAAGAGATCGTTCAAAAGAGTAAAAAGAAAGATCTATTGGTACTGGGTTAAGTAGAGTCCCAGAAGGAGAAGAAAGAAAAGAATGAATCTGAAACAATATTGGAAAAGATAATGGCTAAAAATTGTCTAAGACTAATAAAAAAAATCTAGCCACAGATTTAAGAATCCCTGCAAACACCATGCAGAATAAATATAAGAAAACCACACATAGAAACATCACAATGAAAATGTTGAAAATCAAAAACAAAGAAAGTACCTTCAAAGAAGCAACAAGAGAGCTGACTTGTCAACAGAAATGTACTGTGGAATGATATCTTCAAACTGCTGGAAAAAAATAACTGCCAAGCATCCAGATTTCTATGCTCAGAAGAAACTCTATTCAAAATTATGTCAAAAAGATATTTTCACACAAATACTAAGAGAATGTGTCACAGCAGATCCACATTAAAGGAAATACTAAAAGGAGCTCTTCAGTTGGAAAACTATCCAAAACAAAACCACAAAAATATGTGAAAGAATGAAAAGCACAGAAAGAGTATATATGTATGTGTAACTAATATTAATGTATAAAAATGTCTTATAGGGTTTAAAATATACATAGAGTTAAAATACACAATACTAAAAAAAGACAGGAAGAGGTAAATGATATCAAAGGTTCTAAGATTCTTGCATTATCTAAAAAGTGGTAAAAGTATTAAGAGCCTTTAACAAGTCAAAGATGTATATTAAAATCTTGGGTAACTACTAAAGAATAGTAAAGAAATGTATAACTAACAAGCAATGAGTAGAGTAATAGAGTAATGAAAACAACCACAAAGAAGGTAAGAAAGGACAATAGAAAGAAACATACCACATGTGGGACAAAAAAATAGTAAGATTAAATCCAATGTTATCAGTGCATGAAATGTACACAGACTAAATAGTCTAATAAAAGTAAAAACTGTTGACTGGATAAATAAAACACAGCAACATGATGCTTTTGTAAGATATACACATTAAATAAAGGATAAATAAAGGTTGAATGTAAAAGGCTAAAAAATATTCCATGTAAACACTATCCAAAAAAATCTTGTACAACCATACTAATATCAGATATTTTACAATAGTAAAAGACACTGTAAAGATAGAACAATCTTTTATACACATTTGTATGCATCAAATAATACCACCTCAAAATATAAAAAGCAAAATTAACAGAACTACAAGGAGAAACAGGTAAATCCACAATCAGAGTGGGAATTTTTTTTCTTTTTTTTTTAGCTTCAAAAGGATATCCTTAGCTTCATGAAAGTGGGGAATTTTTAAAACACTCCTTTTAGTAAGTGACAAAAACAAAACAGAAGAAACTGAGTTTGGAATTTTCTTTTAAACGTCATATTTATTTTCCCTAAAGAAACATGTCCATCTTGGCTATTTTTCCTTGTAATGCTGCTGCTGGAGCTCATTTGCAACTGCAGAAATTTAATGGTACTTGATAATATTAATATAAAGCAGATGTCATTTTTAAGACACTTTCCACTGGCAAAAAAAAAAAAAAAAACTGAAAACTTGATCCCATTTTCCAAATTAATAACTCTTCGTTTTAAATTCTTTCATAAGATGAATTATAATTCAAACACATGTAAGCATAGGCTCATGATTAATGTTACTCTTAAAAAGTATAGCTGAATTCCCTTATAAAAATGACATAAGAGGGTACTCATCTATATTTTATGCTATGCTATTTATTCAACTTTCCTAAGAGTATAATTGTTATTTTTCTAAGTATGTGATTCAGTAATTTCAGATATCTAAATTCTGGAAATAATAAGTTATACTAAGAGAATAAACTACTTTTAAAGTTATTTCTATGCTTCAAAGCAATTTACACTTTTTAGTGGCCTTATACTCTTGAATTTAAAATGTGTAAATACAATGTTTTTCAAACAAGGGACTTCTTTTAAAAAACCAAAATAACTGTTATGATTTATATAAACCAAAAAAGGCATTTTCTTCCTTGCCTGTGAACCACTGTCTACTAATAAATGAGTTGTATTGTTTACTGTTCAACCGTAATATACCATGCACCTTAATTACTAACTTTGTTAACTCTTAATTACCTCCACACTTTCCCTAACTTTCCCCTTTGGCCTAAACCACATACTCATGTATGTACAGGTACGAACAGTACTTTTCCTCTCAAGTTTCCCTGTCCTCCAAGGACAGACCTCCTAATATTCTTAGTTAGGTCTTTTATTTCTAGATAAGATCAATAAATGTTGGCTAGAGAAGAAGTGAGTGTTTTCTCAGTTTAACTTTATGGGAAGTATGAAAACACCATCCATGGTGAGAGGGAGGAGCAGAATTCATACATAAAATCATCTGAACTATGTGACAATTTTGTAAAGCATTAGTAAAAATTCTCACTAGATATTTAGCTGGAATCTCACAATACTTTGTAAAGAAATAATACTAAATTCTCAATCTAATAGTTCTTTGGTTTCCCTAAGGTACAAAAAACAGGATGAATTTACATAACTGCAATTTTTCTCTTTGAAAAGACGGACTCATGGCTATCAATAATCTTTAGAAATAGCCAGAATGAAACAACCTTACAAACCCAGCTAAAGACACAAGGCCAACATTCCATTTTCACAAATCCCAATAAGCTTGCAGAAGAAGAAGTATAGACTATTATAATATTTTTAAACATTACCAGTTTTAACCTTTCTTTTCTCCTTTTGCCAAAGGAAGCACTTGACCCGGGTTCTGATTCCTTTTTTCCATCCTCATCCTCATCTTCATCTTCATCATCCTCAAAACACCAATCTGGTAATAGAGGTGGAGGTGGTGCTTCCTCTATATCACCATAGCGACGAAAAAGTTCCTTCAAATAATCACCCTTATAGATTCCTGGTGGTCTGGCTTGGGCAAAAGTAGCAACTGCTGCTTCAATACTATGGGAAACAAACACCATGCAATGTCCTCACTATTCTACATTTATGCAGACTTACCAAAACTCACTTCTTATATTCAAGGCACCATAAAGTATGCTAGAGGTTTATAAAATGGACAAGTCACAGTCCTCACCCTCAAGGCATTCAATCTATTAAGGGACAAATTCATTCTGGAACAGTTTTAATATAAGGTACACTGAAAATTCCTAAACTCTAAAAGTAAATTGCTATGAGTGTATAACAAAGACCTGGGTAGCATCTGAAGAATTTAAAGTCTTGAAGGTTGACTTTTGAATGTAAGGGAAAACAGCATTTAGGGAAATGTGAATAGCAATGTGAACAAAAGTAAAAGCATGTTGGTTTTACAAGAACTTCCAACAGACTCAGGCACTTAGGAGTACAGATCATCAGAGAAAAGCTAAGTATAGGCTGAGTCAGACATAGGAGCCTGGGATTACTGCGTTGAGCATCTGAATAACCAGAGCTAGAAAGTACAAGCAATAGCGAACCTCTGAAGATATACACTGGAGAATGTACAATCAGATGTGTATTTCAGCTGATTACATTCAAAAAAGTACCAACTGTGTGAAAGCCTTTGTAAACATAAATGATGACCTTCTAGTATCCTATGGTGTGTATAAAAAATAAAACAGATAAACAAATAATGACCTTCAATCAGTCAATGAGAAAATTCAGTTAGTAATATCTCATTCTCTTAGGAGTATCAGGAAACCAAGGGTCTAATCTCTCAGGATCTAAAAACACACTTGTCAAATAACAGGTGCTCAATAAAAACATACCGATTGGTTTAAGTGGAGTAACTCTCTCCCAAAAATACTTCTTCAAAGAGTATTGTGAGCTTTTCCTAGTACTCAACAGTTATAAAAAAGATACTACAGGTTGAGTATCCCTAAACCAAAAATATAAAATCCTTAGGGAGAGAATAGGAAGAAAATAATAAATGAAATTAAAAAAAAAAAACTACTCAAAAATGTGAAATCCAAAATGCTCCAAAATCCAAAACTTTTTGAGCACCAACATGACACACAAAGGAAATACTCACTGGAGCATTTCAGATTTTGGATTTTCAGATTAGGGATGCTAAACCGGTAAGTATATCCCAAAATCCAGGGGAAAAAAATCTGAAATCTGAAACAATTCTGCTCCTAAGCATTTCAGATAAAGGATGCTCAACCTGTACTAAAAAGGAAAAGAACAACAATAGTAACTTCCAAAGCTGAATACAAACACAAAATATTGGAAGACCCTATCTCTGATAATACTATAAGATGTGAAAAAAAAAATCTGGAAAGTAAATATATAGTCTATGGGATTCATAAGCACTCAAAGCACTACTTAGTACAAAATACCAGGTTACAGTAGCCTAATGATTATTATATCTAAAATGAAACCATTATAAATTATATTCATCATGAGTTCACCAAAAACTTGGCTATATAAAATTCTACAACTAAAATATCAATAAAATTTTTATTACAAGAATACAAATACCTCCAATCCATTTTCTCCACCAAAAAGGCACATATGAGGAAACCAGTGCGATTGAAACCATGGGTACAGTGAACACCTAGAAAAGAGAGTAGCTTTTGTTTAAAATTAATAGATCACTTCAGAGGCCACATTTTACTTTAAAATTCCAACCTGCAATCAAAACATTTCAGTCATTTTATAAAATAACTACATTTAAAAAAACCTTGAAATACCACCTCTTATAACTTAATAACTTGTCAGCTTAAATTGCTTAGAATGTAATTTATAGCTATAAATTTAAAAATAAGATATTGATTTATTGGTTAAGAACTTTCTCTACTGTCTGCAGATTTCTCTTAAAAGATTCCAAGCATTTTAAACAAGGAGGTACTTTCATCAAACATACAACTCAAAAGGACACATACACACTCAGACACCTCCGATCCATGAACTTTGAATAAATGTTTCCAGTATTCCTCTTATGATCAACAGCACCCACTTGCAAGAAGAGTCAAATCATATTTTTAAAAATCTAGAAACTAGAACAAAGCCAATAAACTATTGGAAATATAAACTCTGGAGGTGGATACTAATTGAATGTAATCCAAGAAAGTGGCTACAGAAAATAATTCACTGATGGATATACAGTACAATAAAAATAAATGCTCTGAATCTTGATTGTGATTTTACCAGTGTCTACCTCTGTCAAAACTCAAATGAATGGCCAGGCATGGTGGCTTACACCTGTAATCCTAGCACCCCAGAGGGGCCAAGGCAGGAGAAGCACTTGAGCTCAGGAGTTTGAGACCAGCCTGAGCAAGAGTGAGACCCCCATCTCTACTAAAAATAGTAAAAATTAGCCGGGCATGGTGGTGCATGTCTGTTGGGCAGGGTGGTGCATGTCTGTTGTCTCAGCTACTCAGGATGAGCCCAGGAGTTTGAGGTTGCTGAGAGCTAGGCTGATGCTCTCAGGTTTGGACATGCTAAGTTTAAGATTTTTATGGGACTTTAAAATATTTGGAAATAATGGTAAACAGTTTCAATGAGAAGTCAGACAGGTGCTGTAGATTCAAGGATAATCAGCATAGACTTACTATGGAAGGCTTCTGTGATGTAGATAAGATCACCAAGAATGAGTACATAAAATAAGAATATTAGGGGTGGAATCTGAGGAAAAGCAACCTTTAAAGAATAAGTGAGAAAAAAAGAACCATAAAAGAAGACTGAGAATGAACTGCCATGAGCTTAAGAGAACAAAAAGTATAAAGGGTCATGTACCCCAAAAAAAGAGGAAGTTTTAAGATATGAGTGTTTAACTGTTTAAATGTCACATAATTATTAGAACTGAAAGTCACTATTTCATTAAGAGCGCTGAGTGAGGACTCCAGACAGCAATGAAGTGCATAGAAATAAATAGATTCAACAGGAAGAAAAGTGTGGGTTTTCTTTTGTTCTGTTTTGGAGGGGGGTGGATTATTTAACAAAAGATGCTTAGGTATGTTTACAGGCTCAGGACATGAACCTAGTTAAATTACAAAGGTTGACAATAATAGAAACAATATAACTGAAATGAAGTTTCTGAAGGAAAGAGATGAAAAATAAAGAGATCAGCCTTGAACAGAAAGACATTCCTTAAAAATAAATAGCTGTGACCATGAAATTCTATTATCTCCATTCCTTTGTAAGAAAAGGTGCTTCAAAAAAGTCACACAAAAATGTGAGCTGTAAACAGATTTTTGTATTCATGTTTCTTAACTCAACATGTAAATTTCTTTTCTACCTCATATTTTAGACCAATTCAAGCAACAAATATTTCAAGCTTAGATAATGTTTCTCACCTAAACCAGTTTTTGTTCCAATTTTCACTCTCACAAGATTAACAAAATATTTTTACAAATAGGAAATGTAGGAATAATTGTCAATGAAGTAATATGTCATGTGAAGATACATGATTTAAGAAAGAACTAGTCTTCTTTTAATATTGTTTACTATGCAAATATATAGTTTGTCTTATTGTTCAATTATACTTCAAAACATTAATAGATCAGTGAATTTTTAAAGTAAATAAAGGTTGTAAACTTACAAAACCGTCATCAAAACAAATCTCTATCCATCATTTTGGGAGGCTGAGGCAGGAGAACTACTGGAGGCCAGGAATCCAAGACTAGCCTGGGCAATATAGTGAGGCCTCTCTCTATAGAAAATTTTTAAAATTAGTCAGGCATGGTGGCACACATCTGTAGTCCCAGCTACTTGGGAAGCTGAGGCAGTAGGATCACTTGAGCCCAGGAGTTCAAGAATGCAGTGAGCTATGATCACACCACTGCACTCCCGCCTGGGCAACAGAGCAAGGCCTTGTCTCAACAAACAAACAAAAATTCTCTAAAGAAAAATTTGGAAGATTATGTATTTGATGTTAAAAAAAAAAACCCATTAAGCATACTACAAGCTTAAATATGTCTTCAGTGTTTAAAAAAAAACAAAAAGCATTTTTCCGTTTTCTTCATTTCATTGCAAGAATGGGTCCATCTAGTGGCAAGTAAACCACAGTTTGTAACTAAAGATTAGCTCACTATTAACTATTTCAAGGCAATTTCTATTCAAATTTATCTTCATTTTCTAGGTAAGCTAATAGAGCAAAATAAATTTCTATGGCATTTACAGTCAAATTAGAAACAAACTTCCCAACAAAAGGAGAGAAAGATGAACTATAGCTATACAAATATACATGGCTAAATATATAATATAAATTAGAAGGGGTAGTTTATAAAGGGTTGTTGGCAAATCTTTTTAAATAAAGCCTAGTCTCAACCTACACCATTTCCTTTCTATCTCATTAGCCAGATAAATTTTTACAATTATCTGGTCATCTGGTCAGTCTAAATCAGTGGTTCTTGACTGGGGGCAATTTTGTCCCCCACAGGACATTTGGCAATGTCTGGAGACAATTTTAACTGTCAAAATTTGTGGGGCACCACTAGTATTTAATGAGTAGAGGCTAAGGATGCTGTTAAATACCCTACAATGCAAGGATAACCCCTCAAAGAATTATCCAGTCTAGAATGTCAATAGTGCTGAGGATGAGACAATAAGTGATATACCTAAATGAGCAACAAAAATGATAAGAACACAAAAGGAAACTAACAATTACTAAGAATCTATTATAAGCCAAGTATCTTAAACATTTTTACTTAATGGAAAGAAATGCTTTTTACCAAAATAAATATGTGCTACTCACAAAAATACATAGTCACAAATCTGTCACATGTATGTATTAATATAACTAGAAACACCTAAAATAATTAGAAGCATTAGCTAAGCCATGTATCTGTTACACATAGCCCACCACTTGCCAAGAAATCAGCTGTGTCTCTCTTAACACAAAACTGATGTTTAAATTTCTCTAGTCCACAAATTCTTACTCTCATAACAGTTTATTTCTATACATGCAAACAAACGCACGCCAGCTCCATAATCTCTTATTTGTAATTATAATTTCAAAAAAGCTTTGAAAAAAATAAAGTTTCTTGGTAAATCATTTAAGAACAAAACCTGACCTGAACTGATGTGATGTTATTTATAGTCTACTTTTCCTACTCAATGTGAATTAATATTCATATGCTTAATTGCAGAAATGTTAATGTGTTTAATTATGGGATGTTTTCTAACACCCAGATTATCTCTAAATATTCTTTTCCACTAAATGGAACCAGGCTCCTCGGAGAAATAACTGATTCTAAGTCTGGAAAACATCTTTTGCCAGAAAACAATAGAACCATCAAAGACTACTGGGGTGACATCAAAAAGATATCAAAAGCAACTTAAAGGGGCTCCCAATGGCCTAGGAAGGAGCAATCTAGACATCAGAATAAATATTTGCTGCAACTGATGCAAATACATCAACCATATAAAAAGTTATGAGTTCATAGATATCCCCCAAAAATTAATCAGTCACAACCAGAGATTACTAAGACACCAACTCATTATTCTGAAAACTGAGAAATAACAAGAAAGAACCAAAAAAATCAAATATTTAACCTGCTTTTCCAATACAAACTATGTTTCAGGATAACCAAATTGCTGAGAAGGAATAGTTCTTTGCTAAAGAATAATTCTAGTTATTCTAGCTAATATATGAAGAAATTAAACAACGTGAACCTTTTGCAACCCCTAATGAAATACTGGACCTAGGCAACAATCATCAATGGACACTAAAATCATTAAGTAAAGGATAAAATGGAGAACTTTTTAACAGAGAAAACAAGCTGCCACCACTTGAACCCAACTTATTCATCTTAGTACCATTAAAAGTGAGACAATCACTTGATGTGGTGTGAAAGAAAGTACACAATACCAAATAGGAAGTATTCTTACCTAAAACTCCTAAAAGTGAATCTAATTATGTCTCTAGATTTAACTACCAATTTACAAGACATAAGGAGATAAGGGAACAAGTTAACTGATACCATGAGGAAGCAATCAGATAAATCCAGAATGTAGAACACTTTACAGAAAAATGACCTGGTTTCTCCAACAAATTGATGGCATTAAAAAAAAAGAAAATCAGACAGATTTAAGACACATAACAACAAAATGCAATCTGTGGATATTGTTGGATCCTGGTTTGAAAAACAAACTTTAAAAAGACACTTTTTAGATAATTGAGAAATTTAAAAATTAGATGACATTAAGGAATTTGTAACTATTCTTTTAGTATAATTATTGCATGATGATTAAATAACAATCAAAGGTCTTATGAGAGATGCATACTGAAACATTTTTAGTAAAATGACGTATCTGTGATTTGCTCTAAAATACAGTTTGAGGTAATGGAAATGCTAATTACACTTATTTGATCATTACACGTTGTATACATGTATGGAAATATCACACTGTACCCCATAAGTATGTACAATTCTTATGTGTCAATTAAAAATAATAATAAGAGCTAGGACGAGTGGGTCATGCCGATAGCCCCAGCTACTCAGGAGGCTGAGGTGGGAGGATTGCTCGAGCCCAAGAGTTCAAGTCCACCCTGGGCAACATGGCAAGACCTTGTCGCTTAATTTTTTTTTTTTTTTTTGAGACAGAGTCTCACTGTGTTGCCCGGGCTAGAGTGCCGTGGCGTCACCCTACCTCACAGCAACCTCAAACTCCTGGGCTCAAGCAATCCTCCTGCCTCAGCCTCCCGAGTAGCTGAGACTATAGGCATGCGCCACCATGCCCGGCTAATTTTTTCTATATATTTTTAGTTGTCCAATTAATTTCTTTCTAATTTTAGTAGAGATGGGGTCTCGCTCTTGCTCAGGCTGGTTTCGAACTCCTGAGCTCAAACAATCCGCCCACCTCGGCCTCCCAGAGAGCTAGGATTACAGGCGTGAGCCACCGCGCCCGGCCTTAATTTTTTTTTTTTTTAAATAATAATAAAAGCAAAAATTAATGCAGCTGTTCCTCAGAATTCCTCATAGTATTGGTTCCAGGAGCCCCCTTAAGTACCAAAATCCTCAGATGCTCAGGTGCCTTGCATAAAATGGTGTAGTATCTGCATATAACCTACACACATCCTCCCATATACTTTAAATCATCTCCAGGTTACTTATAATACATCATACAATGTAAATACTATGTTGTAAATAGTTGTTATACTATATTGGTTTTACTTTTTTTCTACACTGATGGACAGTTTTCATATGTATTGGTTTTTTATTTGTATTTTTTTACTGTATTGTTATTTTTGTTAGAGTTTTCTTTCTAATGTTTTTGATCTGGATTCAAAGGGCTGACCATACCCAAAAAAAAAAAAATTGTTAAGGGGACAGGCGAAAGATGAAAAAAAAGCAACAAAATGATAATTAATGAAGTGGATGATGGATAAATGGGTTTCATTTTACTATTCTCACTATTTTGGGTATGTCTGTAAATTTCCATAATTAAAAGAATTAGGGGGTACTACCCCAAGGGGACTAGCGTGTAGTAAAAATTGGAAATATCTGGTCCCAAGGGTTTCCAATAAGGGACTGTGAAGCAGTTCTTCCTAAAGACTGGAAAAGGTTTCAGGCTTCTGTGTGTTCAAGAACTTTAAATTTCCACTAGCTTACAGCATTAACCCACACCAATTATTAATATCAATTGATAACTGATTTACAATCAACAGTTGATTCAGTTAACAATTACATCAGCTAATTTAAAGATAATTTAAAAAAAAAAAAAAAGAAAGCAGGATAGCTTTAAAAATAAATCTAACTTTTGCCACCGTTGAGGCTCAGAAATCAATACCCCAAAATATGGCACTTTGACATGCTGAACTAAAGAAGAAACGCCAAGGTCTGACCTTCCCCTGCCTTCTGTCTCTCAATCATCTGTCTCTCCCAAAGCACGGAATCAATTTGTTTCTGAAGTTTCCTTATCTGCCCAGAGTCTGGACCCACCAAAAAAACCAATTACCTCTGGTTCCTTCTCTGAGTTTTCTTTAACTGAACTCATATCACAGAAAGAAAGACTGAAGTCTGTCAACACACCTGGACAGACTTTTGTCACAAACCATTCAGTCTGTTCTGTGGGCCCAACAGACATTGTCCCAGGCCACTGCATGTTCTTCAAGCCCACTGAATCTCCCTAAACATCACTTACTAATAACCCCCTAAAACCATCCACACTTCCCCATCTCCTTCCTCTAAGGATATATAAGCATCCATATCCCATTGCATGGTAGGGAAATGACTCAGTGATTCTCCCCTGTGCACGCTAATAAATTTGAATATCTTTTCTCCTATTAATCTGCCTTTTGTCAGTTGATTTTCAGTGAACCTTTAGAGGGCAAAGGGGAAGTTTTCTCTTGGCCCCTATACCACATCACAAATGTTTACTATTGGTCACAAGTATGCTTCAACAAGAATGTGTGCAAAGCTGATGAAAAATCCTTCTCTGAAACTATAAACAATTAAAAAATTATAAATAAAAGCAAGCCAATATTTTCAGATCTTAAGACTACTTAAATCTGATTCTTTAGTGCCCTCTGTGTAAAACGGTATTACCAGCAACCAGTTCTAAGACCAGCTTCTGTTATTGTCTTCACAGTATTACTACAATAAATGACAATTCCCCCTGTGCCCCAAAACTTGGCAGGTCCAAAGCAAATGTTTCTACTTCAATCCACATGAACAGAATCACTGTCAGTAATATAAAACAGATCTTACATAATAGCAGGTTCTATAATTTTTATAACTTGTAAAACCCTCAATTTGGAAATTTTTCCTATCAATTCTTCCAAGAATACAACTGTAATTTATAACAAGGGTGGACTCATTTCCTAAACCTGAAGTATAAGTCTTTCTGAAATCTTGACATTCCAGATGTTAAGACTGCTTGACTGCACTCCTTTGAATTCATTAAGTCGATTCAGCATTTGTCCCTACAATGCCTTATCAAATGAGAAAACAGTTTTGTGAGTTGTTTTTAATTCCTCATATTGAGGCCTCAATACTATTCTAAGGTATATAACTAGTCGTACATCTAAATATATATAAACATGACTATATATACATAGTCATGTGAATGTGTAAATATATACACATACACATCATTTAATACTATATTTCATATATACCCCCATACTATGATTCTGTTAAATAATAGTTGCATATTATGCAATATAAATGATCTGCTTTTTTCAAATATATATGCTGATTTCAGAATTTGGTTTGGTTTTTAACCAAAGAAGCTGTGATGAAATTCCTTTCACATAAATCTTTATGTCCATCTCTGACTACTACTTCCTTAAAATAAGTTCTTAGATGTGGTCTTGATGAGTCAAAGGGCATGAAAACTTTTAAGGATCTTAAGAAATAGCACCAAGTTGTTCCTCCAGAGAGGCTATACCAATTAACACTAACAATGTATGAGTACATCCATTTTATACAATGCTTGACACTAAAAAAGGTTATAATTTTTTACATCTTTGCCAATTTGGTATGGGGGGGGCATAACAACATGTATTTTAATGTGTTATCTCTTTATCAAATGAGAATAAAATTTTTTCTTCTTCCTTGGTTTCTTGTATTTCATATTTTATAAATTGCTCTTTAATTGTTTACCATATTTTTCTACTGAAGAATGCTTCTTTTGCTTGTTGGTTTATAAGATATTTTTATAAATAAGCGTATTAACTTTTTACCTGCCACATATGCTTCAAATATTTTTCCCAATTTGTCAAATATCTTTTTGCCTTCTGTTGTGTTTCATAATACAGAAATTTTTCACTTTTATGTGGTCAATCGAGAAACCAGCATAGCAATTAATTAGAGAGTTGGACTTTAAAAACCTGGTTCAACCACTTGTTAGATGAATAACCACGGGCAAATTACTTAATTTCTCTAAGACTCAGTTTCCTTACCTGTAAAATAGAGATACCACCACATAGCGCTGTTATGAGGATTTACCTTTACTCATTGATCGTTTCCCACTTTCGTTGGGCAAATAATAAGCATTTGTCAATAGCAGTATTACCATTATCATTAATAGCCACCATTAAACTTTGACAGTAGTTCTCAAATTTAAGTGTGCATAAAAATCACCTGAGACCATTATTTTTAAAAATCTAGATTCCTAGTCAGGAGATGTGGCGCATGCTTATTGCAGTCCTAGCTACTTGGGAAGCCAAAGTGGGAGGATCACTTGAGGCCAAGAGTTCAAGACTATAGTTCACTGTGAGCATGTCTGTGAATAGCTGCTGCACTCCAGCCTGGGCAACATAGCAAGACCCCATCTCTTAAAAAAAATATATATATATATATATATATATATGAGTATAAATATATATTTTATATATACATATATAAAAATATATACACCTAGATTCCTGTTATATAGGGCCAGGATGGGTCCCTAAAACATTTCTAACAAGTACCCTCAGGTGATTCCCACTAGACTTATCTTTTTATTGCTTTTACATTATTAAATAAATACTATTTTCTCCTATATTCTTACAGGTTCTTTTAAAATATTTAATCCATCTAGAATGTATTGATTATATGGTTGGCTAATTGTCTGAACACCATTTGTTGAATAATCACACCTTTCCCCTCTAATTTGAAAACGTCTTCACCACCAGGAGAACTACTATTGCAGTTTCCATTGCTTTACCATATGTTTTAATGATTGGTTAAAAAAAAAAAAATCTCCTTACCACTTTTGTTTTTCAAATTTTTCTTGCTTAGAATCTTGCCTGTTTGATTAGCCAAACTATTTTTTTCTGTGCGCAATAAATATTGGAGGCAGTGGATTTTACATATTAACTTCACAGTAACTCAGCCAAAGTCTCATCAGGATTTTGCTTGGAATGACATTAAAAATTTGAAATTAATGTGAAAATAAGTAATGTCTCTCCAATTCCTCAAGCCTTCATTTTAATATTTAAAATATTTAATATTTTCTTTATAAAAACCACATAAAATATTCAACAGTAGTAAAGCCAAACATACCTATAAGTTCTGGTGGATTTCTTTCGTTAAATCGCTCACACAGACGAATAAATGCTTCAGTATTCTCAGTTGTAGGGCACTCACCATGTCTAGTAATATGGAAAAAATTTTTTGAAAAAAGAAGAGATTACAAATTTCAATGAAAGGTTTCAATATTAAAGAGTCTTAATATATAACTTACCCTTTACACTGAAGTTTTATATATTTGATTCCTTCTTTTTCTATGTCATTTCTGTCATAGAACCTTGAAGTATTGGTCAAGTCCACCAGCAAGCCCATTTTAACCTTAAAAAAATTAAAATAAAAAAGGACAGATTTACTAGCAAATTAATTTGTTCCAAAATGAGTTGGCTAAATGGCAATACTATACAGTTCATCCATCTACACTGAGGGAGATTTTGTATTCACTATACCACTGAACAATTGACAATAAAAGTACCGCTTATCCAAATCTTATTCAAGACATTAGAACTTAGCAGGCACTCGATGAAATAAATGAACCCCCAAACTAATGAAGGAACTAATAAGCAAGCAGATTCCACTCCCAACATCACAAAAGACTACCCAATAAAGAAAACATTGCCTGTGTTTTCTTTTTTTTAAGAGACAGAGTCTTGCCAAGTGGCCCAGGCTGGAGTGCAATGATGCAATCATAACTCACTGCAGCCTTGAACTACTAGGCTCAAGCAATCCTCCCACCTCAGCCCCAGTCTCCTGAGTAGCTAGTACTACAGGCATGTGCCACCATGCCTAGCTAATTTTTTAATTTTTTTATAGAGATTTTGTCTTGCTATGTTGCCCAGGCTGGTCTTGAACAACTGGCCTCAAGTGATCCTCCCACCTTGGCCTTCCAAAGTGCTGGGATTACAGGTGTGAGCTACCACACCCGGCCTGCCTGTTTGCTGCATCTACCTCTGCACCTATGATTTATTAGACTGGAGGCTAGAGCAGGAATAGCATCTATCTGAAACACACCACCACTCAAGTTCTAGGCACACATCATACCAGCATTCCCAATAGCCACTACCAATCACTGTTAGTAACTACTTACTACACCACACCATAACCCAGGCTTAAAAGATGAGACAAGCTATTATGCCATACATATATCTACAGATATATCTCCCTCTTCCTATTTGATGAATAAACCTTCTATCTATTTTCTAAAAATACACTGAAGCCTAAAGTTGTATTTTTTCAAAATAAGCAAGGTTAAAAATAGAGACTCTTTAGTAAAAAGATAGCAATATGGGACAGCAATTTCCCTCTTCTCTTCTTGGATATCATATTATAATATATAACATAAAAGCAAGGTAAATAATTTTTTCAAAAAAACCCAAACCTCATTTTCAGTGAAACTAAGAGGAATATAAAATCCACACAATCATAAAAAATGTCTAAGTTCTGCCTAAAAAAATTAAGAGCACTGCAGAACCTATGTGGAAAGGAAGATAGGAAAATCAGACCCAGGAGCTACAGATTTTAGAAAATGCCAACGAAAAAAGCATTTCCTATAAGAAAAGAGCTCACCTTAAAGTGGTAGACCTATCTCTCATCTACATAAAAGCTGAGAAGACTGGGAAGATTGCAGTGAAGCAGAAGCAATGCATGGGCGAAAATGTAATGAAGACACACAAAAATAGTAAAAATGACCCTATGTCAGTAAATCTTACAAAATGCCAACATAAAATATACTCCATGAAGGAACCATCCAGGTAGATCAGTAAGGGACTAATTAAATAAATTATGGTACAGGTTGAGCATCCCTTACTTGAAAAGTATAGGACCAAAAGTGTTCCAAATTTCAGATTTTGAACATTTTCATTAAACGTACCACTTAAGCATCACTAATCTGAAAATCCAAAATCTGAAATGCTCCGGTAAGCACTTCCTTTGAGCATCATGTTGGTGCTCAAAAAGATTCAGATTTTGGAGCATTTCAGTTTTTGGATTAGGGATACTCGACCTGTACATATATTAATGGAATACTATGAAGCTGTAAAAAAAAGAACGAAAAGTTCTTTATGTATTAATAGTACATTCAAGATCTTCATATGTTAAGTAAAAAAAGTAAAGTTCAGACCAGCACATATAATGTGCTAACTTGGGTGCAAAGGGGAGAAAATAATATCCTGTATTTTTTGTTACTTACATACACATAAAGAAACTCTGAAAGGATGCATTAAAAAATCTAGAAACAGTGTAATCTATGGGGAATGTGATAAGGAACTAGGTAAAGGGCAAAAGTTAGAGGGAGGTCTCACGATCCCAACTTTTTAAACTTTGGGATTTTGAAACAAGTCAATGTATTCTCTATTTTTTAAATTAAAAGAGAAATATCATTAAAGCAGAAACATATCTTAGGCAGTTAAATTCTCAAATGAGTAAATAGGGTAAAAAAGTCTCTACAGTCAAAATTCCCCTATAAGTCCCTTGAATAACCAATAAAGAACAGTATAAATTAGCCATATTTATACATCTTACTGGAGATTTAATCCCATCTCTCAATAAGTCTGTCACAGCCAGTTTTTCTTCCCAGATTGCAACAAAAATTATTATTTATTCTGTTGAACATTAACTGAAGTAAATGGTTTGTGTTCAGGGGCCATGTGGTACAAAAAGTCTTTAAAAACTAGAATCACATGCAGCCTTGCAAGATACTCTAGGAAACGCAGGCGCAGTGGCTCACGCCTACAATCCTAGCACTTTGGGAGGTCGAGGCAGGAGGATCACTCGAGGCCAGGAGTTTAAGACCAGCCTAAGCAAGAGCAAGACCCTCGTCTCTAAAAAAAAATAGAAAAATTAGCTGGGCGTGGTGGCACACGCCTGTAGTCCCAGCTACTAGGGAGGCTGAGGCAGGAGGATCACTGGAGCCCAGGAGTTTTAGGTTACGGTGAGCAATGATGATGCCACTGCACTCTATCCAGGACAAGAGAGTAAGATCCTGTCTCAAAAAAAAAAGAAAAAGATAAGGGAACTGAAACAGGAAGATATTATGTAATTTGCCTGCCAAGCTGTAAGTAGCAAACTGGGATTCAAACCTAAGCTATGTGGCTTCTAAACCCCAACCTCTTAGCAACTGCCTAAGAAATATTTAATAGTCTATAAATGTTGGCTATGATTTTCAATATGATTATTGATAATAAAAATTAAAAGTTTATAAGTAAGCTAAAATAAAAGATACAAATGACTCAAAGCTACATGGAGAAAAGAGATTAATAACAGGTTTTTTTTTGAGACAGAGTCTGACTCTGTTGCCCTGGCTAGAGTGCCGTGGTGTCAGCCTAGCTCACAGCAACCTCAAACTCCTGGGCTCAAGCAATCCTCCTGCCTCAGCCTCCCAAGTAGCTGGGACTACAGGCATGCGCCACCATGCCCGCCTAATTTTTTCTATACATATACGTATACTTTTAGTTGTCCAGATAATTTCTTTCTATTTTTTTAGTAGAGACGGGGTCTCGCTCTTGCTCAGGCTGGTCTCAAACTCCTGACCTCAAACAATCCACCCGCCTCAGCCTCCCAGAGTGCTAGGATTACAGGCGTGAGCCACCGCGCCCGGCCGAATAACAGGTTTTTAAAATCTAAGTGGCTACTTTTCTATCCCATGATATGAGCCTTGCACATAATGGGCACCAACATTCATTCAATGTATAGTATACAATAATAGACTACCAAGAGTATAAATAAAACAGTAACAAAGACTGGCATTGTGGGTTGAATTATGTCCTGTAAAAGGTTGAATTACAGTGTCCTTCTACGAGGAAAACCTGAACACAGAGACACACAGGAAGACTATCAAGTGACCACAGAAACAGACACTGGAATGATGGAGCTGCAAGCCACAGAACAAGGATTGCAGGCAACCACCAGAAGCAAGGAGAAAAGCATGAAAAAGATTCTCCTTCCAAGCCTCCAGAAGAAACCAACCTTGCCAACACTTTGATTTCAAATTTCTAGCTTCCCGAACTGAGAGAGAATAAATAAACTCCTGCTGTTTTGAGCCACTCAGTTTGTGGTAGTTTGTCATGGTAGCCCTAGGAAACTAATACAACTGGCATATGTCACCATAATGTAAAAAAACACCAAGTTTCTACCTGGTGGGCATAAAAAATAGTACAGCCACTCTGGAAATAGTCTGGCAGTTTCTTGTAAAACTAAGCAAGTATTTATCATATGACTCAGTAATCATACTCTCGGGCATTTATTTCAGAAAAGTAAAAATTTATGTTTACACAAAACCTAAACAAGAATGTTCACAGCAGCTTTATTTATAATACCCCACAACTGGAAACAACCCAAATGTCCCTCAACAGAATAGCAGTTAAACTTTGGTACATCCATACAATTTAATAGTATTCAACCACAAAAAAGAATGAACTTTTTGTTGGTACATGCAACAATTTGGACATATCTCAAGGGAATTACGTATGCTTAGTGAAAAAAGCCGATCCCAAAAGATCCCATACTATTCTATTCCATTTATATAACATTCTCAAAGTGACAAAACTACAGATGGAGAAAAGATCAGCAGCTGCCAGGGTAGAGGGGTGGTGAGAGGGTCTGACTCTAAGGGTAAGTAGCAGGAGGGAGATGGAACAGTTCTGCAACCATCACAATGAATTTACGCATGGGACCTAACTGTACAGATGTATATATACACATACACAAATGAATGCATATAAAAACTAACTAAGAGGCCGGGCGCGGTGGCTCACGCCTGTAATCCTAGCACTCTGGGAGGCCGAGGCGGGCGGATTGTTTGAGCTCAGCAGTTCGAAACCAGCCTGAGCAAGAGCAAGACCCCGTCTCTACTAAAAATAGAAAGAAATTAATCGGTCAACTAAAAACATATAGAAAAAAAAAATTAGCCGGGCATGGTGGTGCATGCCTGTAGTCCCAGCTACTCAGGAGGCTGAGGCAGGAGGATTGCTTGAGCCCAGGAGTTTGAGGTTGCTGTGAGCTAGGCTGACGCCACGGCACTCACTCTAGCCCGGGCAAAAGAGTGAGACTCTGTCTCAAAAAAAAAAAAAAAAAAAAAAAAAACCTAACTAAGGTCTACAATCTATAATAGGTAACAGTACTGTACCAAGTCAATCTCCTATTTTTGATACTATACTACAATTATATAAAGAAGCTGGGAGAAGGGTTTATAGAACTAACTCTATGTTTAATTTCTGCAACTTCCCGAGTCTATAATATTTCAAAATAAAAGTTTTTTTAAAAAGCCAGCTTAAAAACCAAAGAAAGGCAAAGTATATTAAATCAGCAGCAAAAAAAGTTTTGCCTCTTACCTTTAGACTCTTCAGATAATTTGAGAGCATACTGGGATGGAACCGATTTTCTTCAGCAACTTGACTGTCGTATCTTGGTCCTAACATTGTCTTCAGAGGTAAGAATCTTCCTAAACAACATGAACATAAGTAATAATTTTCATTAAAGAAAATGTTCCATATTAAAGCCCTATGATTAGCAATTCTCAATGTAACCTTCTTAAAACATTTTAAATGGAAAAATGATCTGTAAACACAAGTGTTTTCTCAATCTAAACTACACTTTTAAACGATACTGACTTGGAACTTTGAAGGACAAAAAAAATTCTAGAAATTGACAATCAAATATAACAGCAAAAGAAAAAGTACCAGTAAAGGGAACTTCCATAAAGACTCTAAGTTCTATACCACTACATTAAAAACTTATTGACTTACATCTCTTAAAGATATGGTAGTAGAGAATTGATAATGAAGTGAATTAAATCAGTTCTTTAAAATTCCTGATTATACAGTTTTTAATATGAGGTTGGAACTTCCTCATATCGACCTTCTTATGGACCTTATCCTACATGTCAGGATAAAGACCATGCTAGGATATGCTATCATGCTGAAGATCGTAACCAAAATCACTCTTCGAACAACTACAATGATTATAATTTCAGCAAGAAAAGACTAACCTTTTTCAACCTTTTTTTCCAGAATCACAGTATCCGCATAGGGGAAGTCACTTTGTATAATCAATTTTTAAATAATCTATTTTTAACTAATGTATTATTTTCAAATACAATAAAATCAATAATAATATCTATCTAAAATATCTAAGTGAAGTCTTAACATCTGTACAGAAGCTTTAACCTAAATTTCATGAAAAGATAACTTTGTAAAATCTTGTTTTCAACAAAACTACTCAAAGTCACCAATAAACTCCACATTGTTTAATCCAATAGTCAACTCAGTTCTCACCTTACTTAAGCTCTCAGCAACATAAGAAGCAACCGATCATTTTTCAATCTGCATTCACTCCCTCGGGGTCTCATCTAGTCTTCAGGCTTTAAAAGCTATCAGTGTGCTAATAATGGCTTACAAATTTATATGTACAGTCCAAGCCCCTCCCCTTTAACTGTAGACTCGGATATCAAACTGCCTACCTGACTTAGTCTCTACTTTATATGTAATAGACATCTCAGATTTGATATCCAAATCTGTTCTCTCCATATTCAAACTCTAAAACCTGTTCCTCTCAGTCTTCCCCATCTCAGCAATAACAACACCCTTTTTTTTTAAACATGATTTTTTTAGTGGCTCAGGCCAAAACTTAAAGGGTTATCCCTGACTCTTATCTCATACCCCATTATCCAATCCACCAGCAATCCTGTCAGATCAACCTTCAAAATATATCTAGAATCTGAGCACTTCTCACCACCTCCACCATCATCTCCCCTGGATTATTTTACTTCATTTAGTTTATTTACCAGATATTTAATGGGTATCTAATATGTACCAGGTATTGTTCTAGACACATGGAATACATTAGTGAAAAGAAAAACAACAACAATAAAAAAAATACCTCCCCTCATAATGTTTATGTTCTATCAGGGAATGATAAACCGCAAACAAAAAACATAATAAACTGATAAAATGATATGCAAGAAAATTCATCCCATTAGAGCTTCTCTCCTCCTTACTGCCATCTCAGAAGTCCAATCCTGTTTCCATCAGCTTTTTCAGGCTTCACTTTCCTTCTTATCCAATGTCAGAGTCCACAGCTTATCATCATAACCAGTCCCCTATAAATGCCCTTAACATCCTCCCTCACTACTCTGTCACATTCACCTGAGAAACACCCCGACCTCAATGAACCTACTAACAATCTGACTTCTTTGTGCCTACAGATATGCAGCTGAGGCCTCCTAGAGAAAATCTCACAGCACAAGACAACCGACACTACAAATCACAATCACCAATCTCAAAGGCAAGCCTACCACATACCATTAATTATCCCTTATAAAAAACAACTGCTTCACATCTTTTCTCATTCCTAAAAGATACCAAGGCTCCCCATCCCTTTTTCAACTGACAACTTTAAGTTACACCTCACTGAAAAGAAAAAAGAAACAGTAAGCCATAATAATAAAAGCTAACTTTATATGCTTACCACATGCCAGGCACTATTTAAAATATTTTATATAATTAATTCATTTATTCTAACAATAAGTACTGTTGTTATTCCCATTTTACAAATGAGGAGACCAAGGCGAAAGAGATTAAGTAGCTAGTCACACTACTACTAAATGACAGACCAGGGATTCAAACCAAGGTATGGATCTACAATCCATGCATGGAACCGCTATACAACAATGCCTCTTCCACCATCAGGCACAAACTTACCTCACCTTTGTAGTTAATCTATAAACCCTTCTGTGTGTGAGCCCATTCTCCTCCTCTCATTAAAAGCCAATCCTCTCCTTTCTGCTCTGGATTCCCTTAATATCTTGCTTCTCCCAAGGACCATCAATCAACCCTTCTTCCCTCCTCCCACTCACACTCCCAACATCTTCAGCATCTCAGACATCTGCTGGCTCATTTCCATTAGCATTTAAACAAGCCCTAATCTCTCCTTTATCATCCTCCAATATGTTTCATTTTTACTCCTCTTAATACCAAACTTTTTTTAAAAGTTAAATATAAACACTGCTATCTTTACTTCCTCACCTCCAATTCACTTATGTATACATGTGTGGGCAAAAATGTAATGACTTTACTTCTCTATAATGGTACATAATTTAGCTTTCAAGCTCTCATTCAAGACAACCTCCAGTCAAAGTGGAATTCTCCTCCCTCTCCTCCCTTCTCCTAGAGGTATTTACATTCCTAGGAGGTAGGGACCCTGGCATCAGGAGGGGAACAACTGCTATGTTGTACACCATCTTTTGTCCTCTCTGGCTTCCAGCAAACCAAACCCACTGCACCTGAGTTTCGTTTGGGCATTGTTAGTTTCCATCCCAGCAGCACCTATTAGTGACTTGAGAGTGGTCAGCCAACCTGAAGAGGAGGCTGGAGTAGAGATGACTAGGGTCCATCCTTGGCCTTGGTAGATGGGTTGACGAAGATAATCCTACATCTTCCATGTTCCAACCTCAGCCTCCTCTTCGGGTTAGCTGACCACTCTCAAGTCCCTTCTAATCATCCCTTCTGGGGTCCACTGAAACTTTTGGGCACTACATCTCCATCCCAAAGGTGGGAATTACACTCTAAGGCAGGTCTCAGAGCCATCTACCCACGTCCCTCAGTAATCCATTACAACTCTGTAAGAGACCTGCAGCCAAGTAACTCATCCACTCCAATCTGGCTTCTGACTCCACATTCCCACTGAAAATAATTCTCACTGTCACCAACAACTTCCAAGTTATTATCAACTTTTCCAGTATCTTAACATCTCAGTATCATTTCATGTATCTCACAATTCCTTCCTTCTTTTTTTTTTTTTTTTTTTTTGAGACAGAGTCTCACTCTGTTGCCCGGACTAGAGTGCCGTGGTGTCAGCCTAGCTCACAGCAACCTCAAACTCCTAGGCTCAAGCAATCCTACTGCCCCAGCCTCCCAAGTAGCTGGGACTACAGGCATGCGCCACCATGCTCGGCTAATTTTTTCTATATATTTTTAGTTGGCCGATTAATTTCTTTATAATTTTAGTAGAGGCGGGGTCTCGCTCTTGCTCAGGCTGGTTTCGAACTCCTGAGCTCAAACAATCTGCCCACCTCGGCCTCCCAGAGAGCTAGGATTACAGGTGTGAGCCACCGCTCCCAGCCTCCTTCCTTCTTGAAAAACTCTTGCCTTCCATGACACCAGACTCCTGTAGCTTCTACCACCCACCAAACACCATTGCCAAATTCTGGCTACTCCTCCTGAACTCTTTTGTGCCCTCTTTTTCCCTCCCCCCAGCTTCTAAATGCCAGGTTTCCATGAGTTTCATCATAGGCCTTCTCCTCTACTCTTTCTACATTCTCCACCTAGAAGGTCTTATCCACTTCCATGGTAGAAGTGATGCTATCTGTTCGCCAAATTCCATTTATTTTCTTCTTCCAGGGCACACAGGAAGATTACATTTCTCAGCCTCTCCTGTAGTTGGGTGAGGGTCATGTGACTGGATTCTGGCCAATGGGATATGGGCAGGAGTGAACTCTACCACTAACAAGGCTGGCCATAAAATCCTCTGAAAAATCACCCATTCCTGTTCTTCCCCATCCATGGCAACCTTAGAGGTTTAAGAGGACAGTATCACCAGAAAGAAAGAGCCTAGAGATTCACCAGAGAAGAGTGGCCTGGAAAAGCTGCCTGACGCATAACAGCTTGTTATATGAGAAAGAAATAAACATATATTAGTCTCCCAAGTTTGGGGAGTTGTTAGAGAAACTAGCATCATAGGCATACCTCATTTTACTGCACCTTATTGCACTTCACAGTTACTACGTTTCTTATTTGATACATATTGAAGGTTTGCAGCAACCCTGGGTCAAGCAAGTCTATCAGCACGATTTATCCAACATGTGTTCCCTCCACGTCTCTGTGTCACATTTTGGTAATTCTCACAGTATTTCAAACTTTTTCATTATTATTTTATCTGTAACAGTGATCTGTAATCAGTGATCTTTGATATTACTATTGTAACTTTTGGGGCACCACAAACCATAAACATAATCAATAAATGTTGTGTATGTTCTGACTGCTCAACCAACCAGCCATTCCCTTGTTTCTTTCCCACTCCTCAAGCTTCCCTATTCCCTGAGACACACAGTATTGAAATTAGACCAATTAATAACCCCGCAAGGGCATCTAAGTGTTCAAGTGAAAGGAAGAATCGCACTTCTCTCGCTTTAAATCAAAAGCTAGAAATGATTAAGCGTAGTGACGAAGGCATGTCAAAAGACCCGATAAGCCCCAAGCCAGGCCTCTTGTGCCAAACAGCTAGCAAAGCTGTGAAAGCACATGGAAAGTTCTTGAAGAAAATTAAAAGTGCTAGCCCACCTGTGTGTGGTGGCATGCACCTATAGTCCCAGCTACTTGGGAGGCTAAGACAGGAGGATCACTGAGGCCAGGAGTTCCAGGCCACAGTATGCTAAGACTGCACCTG